TTAGGGGGAACACCCGACAGCGTTGCTCTGACTTGTGATAAACAGCCTATGCTGAGAGCAGATACATTCGAAGCACGGTTGTTAAATGTTTGCAGCTGAGCAGTGTGTTAAACCTTCAACATCCAGTGGTTGCAGAGTGGTTAAGTGCATGCTTTGGCAAATATTTGTGTGAATGTAAAGGTACGTCCAGCTTATTAATTAGGGTTGTTTCTTGTTCCTGAATTGGATGGATACTGGATGCAGTGTTTTACACCTCTGGGCTGTAAAACTTGGTTTCCGTGCCAGAGAAGCAGAATGTTTCAGTGTGAGAAACTTTAAAAAATAAGAACAAATTTTTTAAAATTGCCAAAAAAGGAAACAAACTCCACTTTTTTTTTTTTTCCTTAAAGCAACACTTTCAGCCTGTGAGTGTCTCTCTCTCCCGCTTTGTCTCGCAGATCTGTGAGCAAGGTTGTGCAGCCTTGTGCATGTTGGCTTTGCGCAAACCTGAGAACTGTAATGTCATCATGGAAGGCGGAGGGGCGTTGGCAGCTCTTCAGGCTATGAAAGCGCACCCACGAGAAGTGGCTGTACAGGTATTTGCCTCAGAGCACTTGATGATTTATTCAGGATTGGTGTTGGCTGTGTTCGCTGCTCCACTGGGATTTTGTCCTTTTCTTGACAAACACCAACAGGTTCTGAGTATGTTGGGAATGCAGCGTCTAAATGCAGGACTCCCTACCTCTGTCACCCTGATGTGATCAGAGCAAAATTTAGTTTGGGTTTCAAATCCACCTGAACTCGGGTTCAAGCGACTGTGGAATGCTATGCTTCTCTTCCAGGCATTACTCTTCCTCCTCCTGAAAAGAGCAGGATGAGGATAGGCTCTTTCAGACCCAGCCTGTGCTATGATGTTTTATGTCCTGTAGGAGACCTTGCCATCTGTTTTCCAGAGTCAAATAAAACACCTGTATGGCAAGAAGTTAGCCTCTGGTTTCTCATACAAGTCTCAGGAGGTCCTGTGTCCACTTTCATGCTCTCCAGAGTATTAAAATACCATAGAAAATACTTTCTGAAAGAGTGGTTTAAGCCAACTGCCAGGGAAGGTGCCTGGAACAGCATACAAGGGGGTGGAAAAGTGGGCCCACTGTAACTGGAGAAATCTGTCTTAGTATTATTTAAAGAAGTCTTTGGTATTGCCTGGCTGGTGTTTGAGGTTTGCTGGGTTTTCTGACAGAAGCGGGAGGTTTTGTTGTATAAACTTCAACATGAAATAGCAGCCATACTTTTGTCCGTGGATTTTATTCTTCCAGGAAATGATTTGTTGCTGTCTATAGCATCTCGCGTTTGGTTGCCCAGAAAAGATTCTTTAGCTGGAGCCAGATCTGCTTTCTGTGTT